TTCACAACCCACTGTGAGCAAGTGGCAAGAAACGGTAGAGGTAGGATTCAGGGCTACAAGTCTAGGGAGTCATGACTACAGAAGAACGATGCTACTTTAGCGTTAACAGTGTAGGAACAGAAATAGTGAAAGTTTTGTATCCCTTGGTTCAATCCTCCGTCCAAAGGAAGACTGCAGGCAAGAAATCAGAGGAAGACGGAGATTTGGAAGGGCAGCCATGAAGGAACCAGAAAAGATCCTCAAGCGCAAGGATGTCTCTCCCTGGAGATCAAGGCCCAGATCATCCGCACTTTTGTATTTCCAATCACCCTGTACGGGTATGAAAGCTGGACAGTTAAGATAGTCGATGGCAGGGGGGAAATGATTCATTTGAAATGTGGTTAACAGAGAAGAGACTTTGTTGATACTGTGGACAGCCAGAAAGTGGGTCAAACAAGTGATCAAAGCAAGACCCAACTCTCTCTGGAGGCAAAACTTTGGAAACAGAGGCTGTCCTTCCTTGGGAAAGCAGGATTCTCTGGGAAAGACAAGAACATGGGGAAAGGTGGAAGGCAGCAGGCAAAGAGGAAGACCAACCAAGAGATGCACTGACTCCCTCAAGGAAGCCATGGCTTTTGAGAGTGCAAGGGCAGCTGAGGACAGGCTCCCTTTGGAAATTGTTCATTCATGGAGTTGCCGGAGGCTGGAGGTGACCTGACGGCACACAATGGCAACAATATGGATTCAGAGGAAGCCAAGGCAACGGCTACCTAGAGAGCCATCTGCCTCTCACTAGCTGCCACCCCCACCCCCGCCATCCCTGTTATGCTCACCAGGCCCACAGCTGTCCAGCCGGTGAGATGGGATGCTCTCAGCAAACCTGGTGACCCTAGGTAGGCGAGAACGAGGCATTGGTGCTTTTATTCTCTCCGCTGGCTAATTAAGCTCCAACCTGGCACTCTTGCTTCAGAGGTGATTAACACAGAAATGTAAATGAGGCTTTCATTGCTGCCGGGACTGGATTTCCGCTCCCTTCTCTCATTTCTTTTGCCGGATCGGATACTTCTGGGGCTCGGTTACTTCAAACGGGTGTGTCTTGCATACATACAGCTGCCAAACTGCAGAGGCGAATGGATTATTTTTGCTTCCTAGATTTGGGGGGGGGGGCAGGAGGTGCATCCCTCTAGCTGGCCAGTGTTTGGACACTAAAATTAACTCTTTCAGAAAAGACTGACAAACAACAGAGATACCTCCCATTAGCTATTTTGTGGTAACATGATTGTAACTAAATTACATTGGAGTAATAGCTCCAAAGTTATCTTTTCATAGGGTGAGTAATTTTTCTGTTTCCTTGCAAACCTGACTTTTAAATGGCATTTGGAAGTGTTTTAGAGGCACTTTGATCAGAAATCTTTAAGGATTGTTCTCTTAACAATCGGAAGTGGCAAGGGAAGACTTATTTTCCTTCGCCTTTTTAAAAATTTGGTTATTTCCAAGGTGCTTCATCAGAAGTGGGATGTGGTGGCGCTGTGGGCTAAACAGCAGAAGCCTGTGCTGCAGGGTGAGAAGACCAGCAGTCGTAAGAGCGAATCCACGCAACGGAGTGAGCGCCCGTCGCTTGCCCCAGCTCCCGCCAACCTAGCGGTTCGAAAGCATGCAAATGCAAGTAGATCAATAGGGACCACCTCGGTGGGAAGGTAACAGCGTTCCGTGTCTAAGTTGCACTGGCCATGTGACCACGGAAGATTGTCTTCGGACAAAAACGCTGGCTCTATGGCTTGGAAACGGGGATGAGCATCGCCCCCTAGAGTCGAACACGACTGGACAAAAATTGTCAAGGGGAACCTTTACCTTTACCTTTCATCAGAAGTGGCCACTAGGGGGAACCAGAGAGTATTTCCCTAATATTTGTGGCCTAGCAATGCCAATACTGTACAACAAAATGCAATGATAGCTAGAAAGTAATGATTTGTACAATGAGTTCCTTTTTAAAAAATAAGAACCCAAACTTTGTTCTAGAGACGTGGCGTTATCCTATGGAATACTGGGATTTATAGTCTGGTGAACAAGTAGTTAGAATATCTTCTGCTCAAAAGCTCTTTAGTGTATTTGAGTGAAAATCTCAACAGATGTGACCAACAGTTATCTTTTACCATTTGAAGGATCAAGTAACACAGTTACTTGCCAATGACTTTCTTTTACTAGTACGTAAAGTAACTGTAATGATTACTGTAATTACAACACTATTTTTTAGGTGTAATGAGTAATGTCCAAGTCACTTAGCTATAACATTATTTTCAGTTACTTTCAAAAGTTACTTTTAAAGATATTTTCAGGGGCATTTTGACATACCCCCCCCCCATTTTATGCTCTTCAGTCAGTGGACATCCAATGTGGTGTAGTGAATAGACTGACGTACCAGGACTCAATATATGGGTCTGAATCCCTGCCTGGCCATGGAAACTCACTGGGGATGATGGTGGCATTGTAAAATCTTAAGAAAGCCCTGTATGGTTGCTATAACTTAAATGCAACTTGGGATTCAAAAATAACCATTCTCTCATTTGTCTTAGTAGCCAGGTAACAATGGTTTCATTTTGTCTTTTCTAATTTTATAAATATTTTGAATGTGTGCAGTATCAGAATGGGGCATTGGGGGAGCCAGAGATCATTCCTTTGTATTCTATTGTTCTGCTGGTGATACCACTGCAACATGTTACTAACACACAACAGAATGAGTCCTTGTGCAATTGAAACAACAATAGTGGTAATCACTACCTTTGTAATGCCACAAATTCTATTTAAAATTAAGTATTCTACGTTCTGCTCCCTAAACAAGCTTTTCTGGGAAACAAGGAAATCTCTCCATTTTGCTTTCTCTCACATGCTATTTATGAGACTGATTTTGCTCACACACCACCAACTGTGGTCATAAAATCCACCACCTCTCAGGCCGTGCTTTCAATGGGCCCAATCTGAGCCCCTCTTCTTCTCGCCCCCCCCGCTCCATCATCCCCTGTTCTTTCCTGGACCCATCATGATGATTGCAAGAAAGGACATAAGCAAGCCACTCTTTCCCCCTCATGAGTCACTCTTTGGGAATCATTAAGGCCATTCACACAAGACCGGAGACTTGAGAATTAGGATCTGGAGCTTCTCCTCCTTCCTTGAACATCTTCACTCACCTCCATCTGGCCCTGTGCCCCGAGGCCCTCTTCCTGATTGATCCCACCCTTCACACTTTGGATCCAAGCCTGGTCCACCCTGTCTCCGTTTTACGGGGCAGTCGGTAAGAAGAGATACAAACCAAACCTCCTATGGTCCCACCCAGCTCAGTATTCTCAACTCTGGGTGGTAGCCATGGGTTTCTGGAATTTCCAAGAAGATTGTTCCTTGCCCCTGCCAGGAGATGGTGAGGATTCTCTTGTAGCTGCCCCGTCTCACCTGTCCTGACCATGCTTAGCTGTTGTTGAAGCAAAATAAGTAGGGGTGGGATTTTCATATTTCTTAGGCTACAAAACTCACAACACCCCATTCTGGGACTTTCACCTGACTTAACACACACCTTACAGACCCCCAAGTGTTGCTCACCTGGGAGAAAGGCCTTAAAGAGAAGACTCTGAAGCTCAGCTAGGCCTTGCTCCACCCAAGTTTCCACTTCCTGTCCCACTGCTAGCTGGAAGTTTTCTTTCTGAACAGGAAGCTTGGGCAGATCTAGGCCCAGCTAAGCCTAAGCCTTTTCATTACCTTTATACAATTTTCATTAATTCTAATAATCATTTGGCAACCGAACAAGAGAAACTGGAGGAGAATGAGACATAACGATGCACAGACCTGCTAGCTTCCGCACTTGCTCACAAGCTGCAAGCTAAGTTTGGAGATAATTTGAAAAATAATCATGGAGCTAGCCTTTTGACCTTTTCAATTTAAACTCCTGGTCTTCCTTTGCCCTGCCGATGTAGAAGGGTCTTCTTCCTCTATTCATGGAATTTTAATTACCTTGTAAATAGCTTTATGACATCCAATTAGCTTTGGCATTATTTGGCAGATTATTAGACCAAACCAAAGATAACTGGTAGAGGTTGGAAAACCACTCTGGGAGTATGGGTATATGCATGAGAGCGAGCGTGTGAGGGAGGCAGAGGCACACAGAGAGAAGGGCAAAATTAATGAAAATTTTATAAAGGTCACATAAAGGGGCTCCACCCCCACCCACCCCACATACTTCACATGATGATTATTAGAGAGCCCAGAAAAGAACAGACCTGTGTTTTTCATCATTTGGGTTTTAGCTCTGCAGCGTCTCCTGCTGGACCGCTGGGAATCCATTTCTGTCAAAAAGGCCAATTTCTGAGTTGGGCGCTGCCTGGTGCTTCTAAAAACCCAGAAACCCACAATTGTTTCTCTGTTCCGGTATCTGTTGTTGGCTATAAAAGAAGCTGGTAGGGCTCCTGGTTTTACTCCGAACTTTAAAAGTGCTATTTTATTTATTTATTTAAAATATTTTTACCCCACCTTTCTCGTCAAAAAAGGACCCAAGGCAGTTGACATCATTAAAATACACTATTCGGGAGTTAAAAACAGGATGTATACAAATACTTAAAACAAACAAACAAATATCACACTAAAACATGATAAATGAAATGAAGACCCAAAACACATTCAAAGCAACAAGGAACATTAAAAAAATTTTAAAAACCCCACTCAGACAGCCAGTCAGAGAGAGAAAGTTCGCCTGAAGAGAAAGGTCTTAGCCTTCTTGCTGAAGGAGAGCGGAGACAGAACTGGTCTGAAACTAGGGTTCAGCCACTGGGAGAAATCCTGCAGAGTTCAGACTAAAATTAGCAGCCAACTTGCTGCTTTTTCAACACAGCTACATGTAAGTGGTTGCTGCCATTCCTTATCACTGACTCTTTCAGTCCCGGAACCAAGTTTAAACTGAAGACCTGCTGGCTACAACATCGAGACGAAATTCTGGACTACCCTGTGGTCTTCCACTCGCCCTCTGGTTTCCCTATTACCTTGTCTCTGATGAAGACTTCTGGATAACTTGAAAGCTGACACACTTTAATGACATTCGGAGCAGGACCCGATCAAAAACCTTGCCTGGCTGGTCCTGGGTTTGTTTCTCTCAGATACCAGTGTAGTGAAAGGTTGGGAGATTCTGGCAGTTGCAATAAACAGAAGTTACTTTTTCAACTTCAAGCTGATTCTCCACAGGATTAAATATCTGGATCTGACCTGGCAAAAACCACAGAAGGGAAGCAGAAATAAATACATTGGAACTCTGTGGCTCCGTATGGGATGAGAATCGATTTTCATTCCATGGCTAACCAAGTATGTGGAATGCTTTCTTACCTGTATCAGAAAGTTTTATTTATATATATGTTTGTATACATACATAAGAGCCTCGTGGCGCAGTGGTTAAAACGCTGTACTGCAGCTAAAACTGTGCTCACGACCTGGGGTTCAAATCCCAGGTAGCCGGCTCAAGGTTGACTCAGCTTTCCATCCTTCCGAGGTCGGTAAAATGAGTACCCAGCTTGCTGGGGGGGCAATGTGTAGCCTGTATAATTAAAATTGTAAACCGCCCGGAGAGTGCTTGTAGCGCTATGGGGCGGTATATAAGTCCAATAAATAAATAAATAAATAAACAAGGGACCTCTGAAGTCAGCCACCACCGAACTCTACCCCGACATTGGCTTGAACTTTTAAGGGAAGGAAAAGGACTGGTTTCCATGGGAACCAGGAACAGAACGAAAACTTTTCTCCTCCGTGTGCGTGTGGTGTGTGTGTGTCAGTGCGGCTGTTTCAGCCAAGGAGGCAGATGGTGAAACGCAGGTGGGGAGGATAGAAAAGGTTAACTGGGATTGCAGGTAGAAAAGCATCTTCTCCCTTCCATCTCTCCTCCATCTCTCCAAATTTATTTGGTGGGTTTATGCTGAATCTCGTCCTCATTCTACCCCTTCTACCTGTCCTTCCATCTCTCTCTTTAGCTCTAGGCACTGGTCACGCTTACTATTGCTATTGGGAAAAAGTGAGCAAAACAACTCAATAATGGCCTTGCTTATCAGTGTCAAGACGTGATCTGTGCCCCATGACCTTCTGATCAGTGAGAGGACTAGGGCTGTGGGCTGGATAGAACAATTGTCCAATGGAAACAGAGTTGGATACAGAACTGTAGTCATAGGGTGATGATTAATGGCTCCTTTTCAGACTACGTGTTGGTTGCGAAGTAGGGTGCCCTCAGTCCTGGGCCCAGTGCTTTTCAACATTTTTATTCATGGCCTGGATCAGGGGGTGCAGGGAAGGCTAATCAAATTGTTGGATGACCCAAAATTGGGTGGAATAGCTTAATACTCTGGAAGACAGGGACAAAATTCCAAATGATCTAAGATAGGCTTGAACACTGGGTGGTAAAACAACAGAATGAAAATCAACAGAGGCAAGTGCAAAGTCCTGCACCTTGGAAAAAGAAACCAACCACATACCGTATTTTTCACTCCATAAGACGCACCACATTTTAAGGGGAAGAAAACAGGAAAATAATAATGTTTTCTTCTCCTAAAAATTTGGTGAGCCTTATGGAGAGGTCCGTCTTATGGAACACACTCTAGGACCCTTTGGAGGCAAACCCTGCCCCCCTGGGGGGCCAGAGGGGGCAAAATCGCCACCTTCAGGGACTCTTCTGAAGCTTCCCAAGCCTCAAAAAAGTCCCAGAAGGTGGTGATTTTGCCCCCTCTGGCCCCACGGGGGGCAGGGAGAGCCTCCAAAGGGTCCTAGAGTCTGTTCCAGGATGCTTGCGAGGCTCCCCCCACCCCCCCCCCCGGGGCCAGTGGGGGCGAAATTGCCAGCTTCCAGGTCCTTTTCTGAGGCTTGAAAGGCTTAGAAAAGGTCCTGGAAGCTGACGATTTTGCCCCCGCTGGTCCCGTGGGGGGTGGGGGGGGCC